GTGCTCTCTGAGCCCTAACAGGCTGCAAGGGGCAGGTGCAGGACCACAGCAGTCAGTTTCCCTGGAGATGAGAGTCTCACGTATCCACCAGCTGAAGACCCAGGCTCCATGGAGGAGGGGTTGGACCTCAGGGGCTCCTGAACGTCAGGAGCACAGAGGGGTGAGAGTCTGGACCTGCCTCCCCTTCATGCCCTCAGCCACTTCACCTGGGGTTTCATCTTCCGTTTAATCCCTAGGTAACGAATTCCTCGTGCAGGCAGGAATCCCTAGAATGCGATACAGGTGCACACACACCCGCACACACAGATAAGCATGTGCTAAGTGGTGGTGCTATCCGAGCTTCATAAATCAGTATTTCTGCTTTCAGGAAGCGTGAAACTAGCTGAGAAAACCAATAACAAACATGTAAAGACCTGTCACGTCAAATGTATTAAGCGTATGGATGAATACACATAAAAATGTATTTAGATATACCTACACACATTCAGATGTAAGTGTATAACTGTACATAAACGTGTATATATGTAAAACTTCAGATATATGCTTAATATGAAGTTATATACATGTTAGTATTTGAGTGAGAAATATTGCTATGCAATTTAGAAATAAAGAAATCAAATTTCCATGTTTTATAATTTATATAAATTTTACCAGAAATTTAAAGAGACCTACTGAAAAGTAATTAGAAAGGAGCGATTCTGTAGTGAGTGAACCCGAATTTAAAAGAATATGCTCAAACCAGTCACTTTCTCCTGGATACCTATCTCTTATTTTAAAAAAGATAAATCAAATATCTCACTTAAAAATTGTTAAAGATGTTGAATAAGTCTTTAAGTTAAAATGAGCATACAATATTCTTATGAGCAAAATTTCAAAACACTTCTTAAATTCATTAAGAAAATTTCCATTTTGAATGTCTAAAGGAGGAAGATTTGATATTAATGAGAAATTTGTTTCTACATTGAATGCGTAAATTAAATCAAGACCCAATTAAAGAGGGAGTATCATTCATGATTTTTAAATAATAAATGCATACAACAAATAAAATTATAAATTTATATATTCAAATATTGTTTTAAAAGTTTTAGAGAAAAAGGAACGATGGACACGTGCGTATAGAAAACGCAGAGTAGAAATGAGTTGTACAAA